TCCACCCACAGCCTCCATCAGGGTGTAGCCCACCTCTACTTCTAGTCCACCCACAGCCTCCATCAGGGTGTAGCCCACCTCTACTTCTAGTCCAACCACAGCCTCCATCATGGTGTAGCCCACCTCTACTTCTAGTCCACCCAGAGCCCCCATTAGGGTGTAGCCGATCTCTACTTCTAGTCCACCCACAGCCCCCATCAGGGTGTAGCCGACCTCTACTTCTAGTCCACCCAGAGCCCCCATCAGGGTGTAGCNACCTCTACTTCTAGTCCACCCAGAGCCCCCATCAGGGTGTAGCCCACCTCTACTTCTAGTCCAACCACAGCCTCCATCAGGGTGTAGCAAACCTCTACTTGTAGTCCACCCACAGCCTCCATCAGGGTGTAGCAAACCTCTACTTGTAGTCCACCCACAGCCTCCATCAGGGTGTAGCAAACCTCTACTTCTAGTCCACCCACAGCCTCCATCAGGGTGTAGCAAACCTCTACTTGTAGTCCACCCACAGCCTCCATCAGGGTGTAGCCCACCTCTACTTCTAGTCCACCCACACTTCAGGTTTTTACAGCAGACCATGCATCTCCGTCAGTAAACATTTCAATCAAAGATCTTTGTTTGGAAAAATGCTGCTGAACAGAAACAGATGAACCTAAAGTTAATCCTTCAGATCAGCTTTAGATTAAAGCCCTGCTGAGGAGGAGCTACCATGGCAACGCAATCAAGAGTTCAACCTTAAATACCACCTTAAATACCAGTAAAAACCTGAGAATAAAAGATGGGAGTTTCTAATCAGAACTCTGAGTTCGGTTGGATCAAGGTTTGTCAGACCTGCACAGTGAGTCACACCGGATGAGGCGGAACTAATGTTTCCCAGAATGCACCTGTCAGTGTCCCCTCTGGTCCCAGCGTGGCTGATCCAGGTCACAGGGTCCTGTTGGTTCTGATCCACATGAAGCAGAGATAAAGGTGTTGGTACTGGACCAGTGTTTAACCCGCCTGGTACCCAGCAGCCCCCTGATCCTCTGACCACTGCAGGTTCTGGAGATGTTCTGATCCAGATGATCCAGTGTTCAGTTTGTGGATCATCTCACCTGCTTCCCTCTGAGAACAAAATGTTCTTTTACTTCCTGGACCTGGACCCGGACCCGGACCCTCCTACTAACAGAACCAGACAGATGTTCCAGTGAATGACCTCATCTCTTGCTGGTCTCAGTGTCCTGCTGGTTCTGGGTCGAACCGGTGGCCAGAACCGACCCAGATTCAGACCAACAGCAAACATCTGGAAGGAGACTGAGAAGTTCTGGTTCTGGTTCTGGACTTATTTCCAGTCCAGCTGATGACAAACTAACTGGGTCGGTACCTCAGATGTTTGGGTCGCTCAGCTGATTCTAACCTTTATATTGACCAGAACCAGAACCGGAACCGGGCAGACCGCTCATGCCATCAGATCTCAGTGACTCGTCCACGCGTGGACAGCTTGCTTACGTGGAGTCTTGGTTAAAAGAGGCGCAGCCGAACTGGCGGCCCGGTTCGGCCGCTCCGTCCGGGTCCATCCCCCCTCCGACCTGGGCTGGAGTCCCGGGACCGGTTCGGCGGAGTCCGGCTCCAGCTCCGTGGGAAGGTTCGGAGGTTCGGCCCGCAGGGTGGAAGTTCTGGTTCGGTGTCGGTGCGGATCGGAACCCGCAGGAAAACCGCAGCAAACCTGAAGGAAAAACAAGAACAGCTGACGGAACTACGTCACCGCTCCGCCTTCAGTGATTGGCTGACAGTCCGCCCTCTGGTTGATGCTGCGGTTCTGATTGGTCTGGGACCGGATGCTTGGTTTTCATTGGCTTAGCTGTGTTTGGGTGGTTTGTTTATCCTCCATCCAGAGGAAAATATGACTTTCATTAAAGTTCAGATGATCAGAGCAGCGAACCTTCTGGTTCATCCAGACCCAGAACCTTCAACCCTGAAGGTCCAATAAATCCCAGCTCTGGTGGAGAATAAAAGCTCCACTGCTGAAAGCTTTAGATTATTGGACAAATCTGAAAAGTGTGGCGTGAATTTAAAAGCAGGTTTGCAGCCAGCTGCCATTATGGGTATTTTTCAGTGAGTAGAGTCTCTGTGAGGAAACAAACTGGAGAAGAAGGTTTTCTGGTTAGAAACATCTTGATGGAGGAGGAGATCACGCTCTCCACCAGTGAAACGGCGTTCGCTGAATATCTTCCTATTTTTAGTGAACGATGAACTGATCAGTGAAGGAGGGCGACGTTCACTATCAATTAATAAAACTTTTTATTGAATAACTTCAGGTTTTATGTCACTTATTATAGCAAACAGCCTGACAGCATGTCTGCCCCAAGTTCCTGGGGGGCCCATAAAACTTGTTTCCATGTATGGTTAATACAACTATTCCTTATTAATTATGTTTTTGATAAAAAAAAAATAATTTGGCTAAAATGCCATCAGAACGCTGATAATATTAAGTGTGTCTCAGCCGCCCCCCCTTCAGTGTCCACCACTTCTTCTCCTAAAATCGATCACCATCTTCTTGGTCTCTGAACACCAGTAAGACCAAGGAGATGGTGATCGACTTCAGGAGTCAGCAGGCCCCTAATTAAAACCTTCTCTGACTCTGTGGGGGCCTCAGCCCTCCTCTACGCTGTCGTCTGCTGGGCCCCTGGCAGCTCAGAGTGGGACAGAAAGAGACTGAATAAGCTGGTGAGGAAGGCCACTTCTGTCCTGGGCTGTAGCTGAGAGGAGGATGCTGTCCAAACTCACATCCATCATGGACAACACCCCTCACCCCCTGCACCAGACTGTAGAGGAGCTGAGCAGCTCCTTTAGTCAGAGACTTAGACACCCTGTCTGTAAGAAGGAGTTCTACCGCAGGTTATTCATTCCTGCTGCCACCAGACTCTATAATAATGCACTAGAACCACAATAACTCCTGTAAAAACCACTGTGCAGCTACATTATAGTTTTTATTTTATTTATTGACTGTGCAATATTCTGTGCAATATGATGAAATATATGTGAAGCTTTTTTGTTTTTTAAAAATAATACTTTTACACTTTGACTGGAATGAAAAGCTGAAGTTGATCCTTTTTAAACGGCAGGATTTCTACTGGAGGAATAAACATTAACAGTTTGACTCCTCTGACTGGCATTAAGATGAAAGCAGCCTTTCCTGCCTGCAGGCTGGGCGGAATGCTTTTCCATCTTTTGACCACTAGGTGTCGCCATTAAAGCAAACTATCATAAGCAGGTGAATTATTTAGCCAACAGATGACTGCGGGGAGGGCAGAAACAGCTGAGCGGAACCTTTGGAGCGCAGCTTCCGGGAACAGTTTAAGTGTTGCACCGTTGCTTCATGTAAACACTCCTCCAACATGCGGCTGTTTCGCTGGTGTGAAACTAGAAGTCATTCTGGCTCCTCTACGTCTATAAATCAGTGTTTCCAGTATGTGACGTCAGAGAAATGAGTTTATTATTTTAAACAATCAGAAAATTCGATTAAAAAAGGAAGAAAAGAAGTGAAGTTATCCAGCAGGAGGATGGAGGTGGAGGGCCGGGATTTCCTGAACACTCCACCCATGAAAACGGTCCGGTTCGGGGGGAAGGTGGCGGAGACCCTGGAGAAACTGAAACAGGTCAGAGGTTTGAATGTTTACAGGAGATCAGCGGAGAACATGGCGGCCGCCACTTCCGGTCCAGGAACGGACCTTCAGCAGCGATGATCCAATCAATGAGGCTGAATATCAGCTGACCTGCTGATTCTTTAAAACTATTTCACTCAAATCTGCTTTGAATTAGATGCATATTAGTAAAACTAATTATTATCTAGCAATTCACTTTAATACAAAATAAAAAAATAAAACTGAATAAAATAAGTATC